AATGAAGGGAGAAATAAACTGACTGACTTTCTCTATGGCTACTTCTGCTTTTTACTAAGGCCTAAAATTTTCTAGTTAAGGAAGCAATTGTTTCTGTAAATCTACTAAGTAACTAAGCATTGTATCTACCTGAGGTCTTTCACACATAAGTCAATGAACCAGTGAATCAACAGGCATTTATTAAGAACCTGCTTAAGGCACTTGGCTAGTGGCTGTTTTCTCTGAGAATACAAATATAAATGCAAAACAGTCAGAAATTTAAGTGGAATATATCAAGAAGACTCATAAATAAGTAGAAAAGATATGCAGACAGTAAGGACACATTTATTTCAGTGGAAAGGGACAAGGGACGCAGTAGCAGTTAATAAGTTTAGGAAAGACTTACACCAAGATCTTCCCTGAGATGAGTTTTGAAGTAAATCAGGGATGCTAAGATTTGGAAATGAAGAGGGACTCTTAAAGGGCGAACATGTTAAGAAGTAGAATTGGGAAGAGAGTTCATGCCAGATGTGGGGAACAGACTACGCAAAAGCATTAAAGACAGAGATGGAAAGACATGGATGAGGTGTAAAAAGGTATCTTATGGAGCTCAATGAGAGAGTAAAAGAAGAGAAACATGAGGCTGGTCTACAAAGGAAGCTTGGTGCCAGGTCATGTAGGATTTTAATAAGGAGTCTATAGTTTAACTGAGAGGAAAGAGGGAGCTACGGGAGCTTCCTGAAATGGGAAGGGCTATAGTTATACCTAGGCTTTAGGCATATCACTCACTAATAATAATAATAATAAATGATGGTGATGATGATAAGAATAATAGCATTTGCAAAGTACCATAAGGCTTTCTAAATTTTTACAAATGTCATCTAATTTTGTCATCATAACTCCACAAGGTGGGTGTTATGATTATCCCCATTCTTCAGACTGGAAAACTGAGACAGATGAAAGGCCTTATCCTGGGTTACACATGTACTAAGGTTCTACAGAAGGGCAGCTAAGTAGCACAGTGGTTAGAGAGCTGGACCAGAAGCATTTTGAAGGCCAGAAAAAAATAGTGAAAATGAGCATTTGCTCTGATTATCTTTGGTTTCTGAAGATATTTGTAAGTGCTTTTTGGACTAGAGTCAGACCTGAGTTCAAATTTAGCCTCAGATACCTACTAGTCATGTGACCTTGGTCAAGTAACATAACCTCTATTTGACTTAATCCACTGGAGAAGGAGATGGCAAACCACTCCAGTATCTTTACAAAGAAAACCACCGTGGATGGTATTGGTGAGCTACAGTCCATGGGGTAAGAAAGAGTCAGACATGACTGAATGACTATCCAACAGTAAGGCTCTACCAGAGTGACTTGTCATATAATAGGTGCCTAATAAAGTCTGAATTGAACTGACTTATCAGGACTCTATTTTTGAAGGGCTATATGTAGTTAGTAGCAACCACTGTTGACCGTTAAAGGATTTTCTTATTATTTACATCATTTGTATAACCTTTTTGCAGAAGAACATTACATATTTTGACTTCTTGTTCTGTTACTGAGATGGCCTGGTGTGCTTTTGAGTGTCAGAGACTCCAGTAGAATAAGCTTGGCAAATTGCTAATAGCCCACCCCTCATCATGGTGAATATGTGTTATTGGGCTTACAGGCTGTAACAGTCCTGGGTCCAATGTTCCCTTTTCAATAGAGTTAATTTATTCTGATTTCCTGCATGGTACTCCATCAGTCTGCTTAGGACAAAAGAGAAATAAGGCCGCTCTTTCTTCCAGCCCAAGAGCTCTCAATGACTTCATGCTAAGGAAGGACAGCCCACTCAGCACATTTCACTGTGGCCATTCACAGGCTCTGACAAATGAAAGCAACCACCCTTGCCTTAATTAAACACTAAAATCTCAAAGTTCATGTATCAACTAAGCAAATGGATCTTCTTTGGCTCATTTGCATATAACAGGCAATAAGAACCATATGCTATTATACCCCCCATCACTATGATAATAAGTTTACATCTGTCTTAGGAGGTAGTGCTCATATTGGAGTTATGCCTCCTATTTTCTTTCTTTTTCTCTTGAGAGAAAGAATACAGTTAGAAGGTAAGATTCAGAGTAGTACTTCTTACTGCTTTCCATCTTATTTTGTGGATTTTTTTGTTTATTCTGACATTCAAGATGGCATTGTATTATTGCAATATTTTGTCACCTCAATGAATTTGTAATTTTGCCATTTTAGGTCCTTCCTCCTCCTTCCCTTGCTCCTGTCACAAACTGTTCATCCATAGCTTCTAATCCTGTCTAACTCTTGTTCATGTTCTCCCATAAATCCTCCATAGGGAGTTTATCCACCATGCTGGGGGCTTTCTTTTAAGATTCTTCATATTAGGAGGCTTCCAATGCGTGATTTCCAATCATTTTCAGTAGGTGACTGAACCTTATCTTTGTACCTTCATGTGTCTCTTTGAGGGTATCTTTCGTATTATTTGTTGTAATAATACTTTGGGGATCAGCCTACCCATATTGAAAGAGTTACCAGCAAAAGACTGAATGATTGTGGATGGATTGTTTTACTACTACAACTCATAAAACAAAGAAATACATAAGATGTCTCACAGTCCCATGTTGCCCCACTATGCTTCTACAGTGATGGTAGTGGGATGGGAAAAAGGGTCAATCATCATAATAGAAGACGATATTGAAAATAGTCTGTTAAAAATAGTTTGTGTAGCTAGATGGTGCAGTGAATAGAGAACTAGCCCTGGAACTAGGAGGACTTGAGTTACTTGACACTTACTAGCTGTGTGACCCTGGGCAAGTCACTTAACCCCAATTGCCTCACAAAAAAGAAAAATAGTTTGTGTAAATACTATGTGCCTAATTAATAAAATGGTATTCATAATCATATTACCTATCTCATGTAATTATTGTAAGAGGGAAAAATTTTGAAAATGTAAAGTGTCATATTAATATGAATTATTATTATCTCCTGTGATAAACTTCAAATATTTGGAGATATGCAAATAGACATTTTGGATAGAGTGCTGGACTTGGCATCAGTTAGACCCGAGTTCTTATACAGTCATAATCACTTACTAGTTGGGTGACCTTGGGACATTTATTTAATCTCTGTGAGTTTTGATTTCTTTATCTAAGGTCCTACCTTTCAAGGTTGTCATAAGTATTAAGTAAGGTAATATATTTATGTTGGCACAGTAGATAGAGCATTGGACTTGGGAATAGAAAGACTCAGAAAAGCTATGTGATCCTGGGAAAATTGTTTAATCCCATTTGCCTCTGTTCTGCATCTGAAAAATGAGCTGGAGGAAGGAATGACAAACCACTCCAGTATCTTCCCCCCAAAAAAAAAAAACAAAATGGGGGCAGCCAGGTGGCACAGTGGAGAGAGTGCCCAGCCTGCAGCGAGGAAGACCTGACTTTGAATCCATCCTCAGATAGTTACTAACTATGTGACTCCTAACCTCAATTGCTTAATCAAAAAAAAAAGAAAGAAGAGAAAAGAGAAAAGAAAAGAAAAGAAGAGAAAAGAAAAGAAAAGAAAAGAAAAGAAAAGAAAAGAAAAGAAAAGAAAAGAAAAGAAAAGAAAAGAAAAGAAAAGAAAAGAAAAATGAAAACCCCAAAATTGGGTAATGGAGAGTCATGGGGAATAACTTGAACAGCAATAACCACAAAAGTATTTTATAAGCCATAAAGTGCCATATAAATATATTATTACTATCATATTCTTCCTAAATCTCCTTTTCTACCAGCTAAGGACCTTGTATCACATGCTGCTCAGTCCCTACCTGACCCTAGTTGTTCTCAGGTGTACACACTACAGCTTGCCCATGTCTCTCCTTAAATTTGGTACCCAGAGTTTGGTAACCCCATACGGAGACATACCTATACACATCTGCTAATACCTTGTGGGAAAAAAAATCATGTGGGAGACTGCAAATGATTCATAACAAGTCTGTTTAATTCATTACTTCTTCTCCAGCCACAGAGAGAGAGAATGCAATTATGCAATTAATTTGTCTTATATAATTAAGGTTCAACCCCTAATCTCTTAACTGCAAAAGCACATTCTGTCTTAAATTATGTCTACAAATGCTGGGCTCTGAATTCTTCCTTCTTAGATATGAATATATTTCAAAGCTCTTAATTACAATTCCTTCAATCAGATCTTGAAAATTATTTCGTTGCTAGAAAACTCCCCAGTAGCTTTTCTTCATCTCTCCATAGCCACAGCTCTGGGTTCGCGTCTCACCACCAGTAGAAAGTACTCTACGAGTAGGGAAATTTTCCTTCCCCGCCTTTGTACTCCCAGATCCTATGTTCCTGGAACACAGAAGGCACTAAATAAAAGCTTGATGAGAGACTACTTGCTCATTCAGTTATGGGATTACTGCGAGAGATTAATAGCCCTGAGTTGTAGGCCAATAAGAGAAGGGTAACAGATGGAATTAAATATTTATATAGTACTTAGTACATGCCAGGCATGTACTAAGAATGTTTTCTTCTTTAAATGTTACTTTATATTATCCTCACAATAATCCTGTGAGATGGTTGCTGTTATGTTTCCCATTTTATGCAGAGGAAAATGAGGCAAATAGAAATTAAGTGACTTGCCCAGGGTCAAACAACTAGTAAGTGTCTGAGGCCAGATTTGAATTGAGATCTTCCTGACTCCATGCCCAAGGCTCTATCTAATGTGCCACCTAGCTGCCTATACAAAACACATTACCTTATGAGGAATTCTAGGTCTTTTCTAGTATAGATATGGGAGACCTCTGGCTTTAGACAACTGATTTTAACCTTCAATTCTTTCTAAACTTTTCCTGACAACAAATACCCAACTCAACCCCTCCTGGATCTTCCTGGCAGTAGAGATGTGGAAGTTTTCATAACCATAAATACACGTGTGATAATGAGTGCTTATTAAAAATAACTAACCTTCACTGCAAAACAAAAACAAAAACAAAATCAAACAAATGTGTTTTACTTTGAGAAACTTACTTGGAACTATGAACTCCATTTCTTCTGACATGGCAGTTCCTAATTCATTAGAAGCAAAGCAGCGGTATTTCCCTTGAAAGTGAGTGATATGTCCTTCATTCATGATCTTGAAAGTGCCTGTGCTATTAGATGGAACGATCCGTGAGTCAGAGAGGAGACTAAACGGCTCCTCATTCTTAGTCCAATGAAACCTGAAAGATAAAATTAATGTGAAATTAAAAGAATGGGAAAATAGAAAATTATGCTTGAATTTAAACAAATGCAGCATTCTGTGGCAGAGAATTACAAATATGTGCTGTGAACAGAACACAAATGAGAGTGTCTATACATTACAGGACATATAGAGGGGGCCTTTGAGGGACATGACGAAGTACAGGGTGAGTTGTTGCTAGCTCAATGAAAAGAACTTGGTAAAATTTAAATGACTATGAAATTTATATGGATATAGATATTGATTTATAGAGATTGAGGTAGAGATATATAGATATAGATTAGCTATGCATCTGTTTATATGGATATATATGTACACCATCTATATCTGCATCTTCACATTTATATATACAAATACGAACTTATATCATGTACATTATGATTCAGGGGCAGACTTTCAATTTTGTTTGCTTTTGAGGGATGATTATTAGAAGTAAGGTGAGACCCCAATCCTCTTGGAAGTACCAAGACAAAGGTGTATGCATAGAACACATTGAGAACTCAGTCATAAGGCCTAGGGCACAAGGCAGTACAATGTTATTCACTAGAAAGAATATATGGTCAGAGCAAGACCAGTCACTAGGTAGATTTGATACTAAACAACTAATAAAGTCACTTCCAGTCATAATCTGTGAATTATGACCTCTATGGATCCTTACACCTCCACTGTCTAGGAGCCAGATTAGGTCCAGTGTTCACAAGTAGTTCAAGTGGCCTGCCCTGGAACAGCCCAAAGGACAAGGAGGGAAGGCAGTCATAACACTATGCTATGTCTGTGTTTCATCAGTACAGGAAGGGAAATCTGGGGTGAGGAAACTCCATTTACAATATGACCTTGGAATTGTTTTACAATTTAGTAATATAAAGAATTACATAGAACATTTTGAATATTGTGCCCAATGTCATGCAGCCAATATGTATAAAGGAGTATCATTGAACTCAGGTCTTCCTGGCTCTGAGGCTAACTCTCTATCCATTACAACTTGTAATACCTCTCATCATATGTACACACACATATACATACACACCATATGCATATAGGTCTTTGTGTGCATGTTTATATGTATGTGTGTGTGTGTGTATATATATATATGCATATATACACACACATACATATATACACACATATATTTATATATACATGTATATATGTACACACATAAATACTGCATGTTCATACATAGCATTTATTTTTATATACATGTGCATTATGTATGTATGCATGTATGTGTGCATGTTTAGATGTGTGTATAGATGCATGCACATACATACATATATACATGCATACATACTTCCATATCATAGGTGCTCAATGACAAATCTGTATAGTGGCTGGTCTTGCTTTAACCATGTACTATGAGTCTGATAAGGAGTGGTTTTATTTTTTCACTGCAGCCATATCCAATACTTTGGGAACTGGTAATAATGACAAAACTTTAATCCTCCTTATTAAGTCCCTGAATTGATACTCTGCCCCATTCTAATAGAACAAGGATTTAACCTTGTTCTTGAGTCTTCTCTAGAACTGAAATTCTGTCATTAAATTATAATCTCCACTACTCTCAGCTCCTTTATACTAGATCTCTTGTAAACTGTCCATTTGTCTTCCTGGACTTCTGTTCATGCCTGTTTCTAGTTTCCTACTCTCTACTACTAGATCTTCATGTCTGTCTGGATTAACCTAGTCAATCTACTGTTGATTGTGGCATCCTCTTCTCATATACCATCAATACATTCAGATTTCTTCCTTTTTCTCTCATCCAATTTTCCAATTTTCTCTCATCACTACCTTATGCCGGCTTGCCTACGTGGTTTTGTGGAGTCAATCATATTGTCATTCTGTGAGTCTCAGTACTTAGAACTGATTATGGACACACACACACACACACACACACACACACACACACACACACACACATACATCTTTGGATACAATCCCTTCATGTCAGAACTCCCTGTAACAGCCCTTTAGTCATAATAGTAAAGAAAAAGTCTTATCTGAATTTGTTTCTTTAAAATGAGTTTTTGCTGCCAATTGGCCAATGTACCCCATGTCTTCCATGTTCATTGTCTTTGTCTTTGTTCCACCTGCTCCTGCAGCCTAAAATACTCATACTTCTTACCTCCAGATATGTGAGTCCTTCAAAGGTCACTTCTACCTATCCTGGGAAATCACCATTAGACTCACTCATTTTAGGAACCACATGTGGCCTTGAAATATTTCTAGATAGTTTAATATATTTGTTTTCTATACAACTAAACTATAGGATTCTGGAGGGGACTAACACAATCACATCTCTTTGTTTGATTTATTTATCTGGGTACTTAACCTAGAGCTCTATGCATATGACAGATACTCAAGAAATACTTGCTGAATCAATGAACAGATGAATGGACCCTGTGGAAAGTAAAGGTCATGAAGAAATAAGTATACTGATTGGATTATTACCATTAAAATTGCTAAAGTTTTAATTTTGTTCATTTTCTATTAAGAATAGACATTACACACTGCAGAGTTAATATTTAATGTTCCATTGAGTTATAAAAATATGATTTAAGGGGTGTTGAAAACATAATTGAGGTATAATATCTCCCAGAGAATGTTCAACACACTGTCAAATGATCAATTTTCATTAAGGATGTGTCTCTATTAGATGGATAGGAAGTCATGAGTCTGATCATCTGTAAAATGAGAAAGTTATATGAAATGATCTCTAATGTTCCTTCCACCTTTCAAATATTATCATCTTGTGACTTAGATATCTCAGTGTATGAATTTATTCAGAATAAATGTGGGTAAATTAGATTTTTTTAAAAAAAATCATTTTAAAGTGGACTTCAACCAATCAATCAATTATTTGCTAAACAGCTAGTATTTTCCAGGTACAAAGTTTAAAATAGTCCTTACTTGAAAGTTGCTAAAATTCTGATGGAAACAAGTATATATAAGGTATGAAAATGATTAATATAACATATGCAAATTGACAAATACAAAGTGTGGGAGGGATGATACTAGTAGTTAAAAGGATGAGGAAAGGCTTCATGCAGAAAATGGTGGTGGAATTGAGCCATAAAGGAGGGAAGAGACATTATCACATGGAGGTAAGAGGAAATGATTTATCAGGCCAAGTCTTACATAGTCATTGTTTGGGCTCTGATTGGCTCTGAGTGAATGTAAATAGCAATTGTTTCTGTTTTGGCCAGAAACCCTGGGGATCTTCCCCTCCCAGAAGAATTTTTTTTTAACTAAATGGAGACACCATTCTCTGCTTCATATTTTTTTTTGACTTAGCCTAATCACTGAATGTTGCCTCAGTCAAACTGACTGCATCCAGGGCCATCTCTAGTCATCCTGATCTATATCTCACCACTTGACCCAGATTGCTCTAGAGGAGAAAATGAGACTGGTGACTTTGCACAGTCCTCCCTTACTTAAATCCAATTCACTGCATGTCATGGCATCACCTCCCTAATGGCATGGTCCTCTTGGAAGGATAAACAATACAATAACAACAAGGAGGAAATACTTTTGAGGAATGTTTATGAGTAGCCAGCATAAAGGAACAGAAAAGGGAAATGGGGTATTGCATGTGAGGACCAACAAAGAAGGCCAGTTTGACTGACTGGCAGAGTATGGAGGGAATATAATGTCCCAGGTTAGGGACAGGTTGTATAAGGCTTTAAGAGCTTAAAAAAAAAACATGAGATATTTAATCATAGAAGAAATATGAAATGACTGGTCTTGAATTCACTCTGTTGGTGAAGAAGCCTATTTTTAACTGAAGCATTCTTGACGCTAATTCAGCATGTTCAGTATCCTACTTCAACATTTTCACCAAACTGGTTTTTCACAAATCAATTTAAAATATAAAATGGTGCTTTAAAACACCTGAGGAATTTTGGTGAGTCCATGATTTCACTGGTGCAAGTCCCCCTTATACCAATGTTGTTCATAGATCCTTTCTTACCCCTTCCCTTCCCATGCTTGATTACTGTTTGACAGTTTTTCATCATTTTACCTTGAAGAAGGATGTACTCATCATACAAGTTAGGAAGGAAGGAAGGAAGGAAGGAAGGAAGGAAGGAAGGAAGGAAGGAAGAAGGAAGAAGGAAGGAAGGAAGGAAGGAAGGAAGGAAGGAAGGAAGGAAGGAAGGAAGGAAGGAAGGAAGGAAGGAAGGAAGGAAGGAAAGAAAGGAAGAAAAGGAAGGAATGGGGGGAGGAAAGGAAGGAAGGGAGGAAAGGAAGGGAGGGAGGAAAAAATACTATTATGCACCTTCTCTTTGCCAGATACCATGCTAATTGCTTTACAAATGCTATCAAATTTGATCCTCACAATGACCCTGGAAGGTAGGTGTTCTTTTTATCTGCATTTTATAGGTGAGAAAACTGAGGCAGACAGAGGTTAAACAAATTGGCCAGAGTCATTAAGTTAATACTATGTGAGAATGAATTTGAATTCTGAACTTCCTGATTCCAGTCCAAGTGTTATATCCATTGTTCCTCCTAGCTCCCTCATTAGAAAGCATCTTCTCATTTTCTTCTATATCAGAAATACATCTGTAATAATAGGGCTATCAGTCTGTTTTCTCTCATTTTTTTTATTAAGTATTATACTCAACATTTTTTTTCTTCAGTATGCACAATCTGAAGGTTATATTATATAATTTGTAGAATATAAGTTGCCACCTTTAAAATTCAGAAGCCTACTTCAGAAAAAACATGAATGTTTCCATTGTTCAGTTTATTTGTGATTTTACCTCTAACAAGATTGTGTTTTTTCCTTGTAATTTGTAATTCTATGGTAATGCTGAGAGAATATTATTATTATTAAAATATTTTTTTATTATTTTTTGTAGCATCAAACATCTTGAGACACATTGTACTATGCTGTTTTCCAAAGATAATACAATCTGATCACTTTCACTTACATAATGCTGGGTCTAGCTTATTATCTATATCTAGAATTTTGTGTTGATGTAGTGTGTGTGTGTGTGTGTGTATGTGTGTGTGTGTGGTAAATATTGTGACAAACAGCTAATGCTGAATTGTTTATATAGTAGTATCTTAGCATTATGCATTTCTCATCCAGTTTGGTTTTCTAAAGTGGATAGTCAGGCTTATTGTTGCAAATTGTGCAAAGTACACTGAGTACTGTTGCAGAGCTTAGTGCATTTATGATATCTTCTGTAAAGAAGATAATATGGATAATTTCACCATCAATAAGTGAAGTCTTAGTCTGTAAAGTGAGCCACACTGGCCAAAATCTGAGGTGAATGTGTCTTCAAGTTTGTTGTCTCATTTGATGTCAATGATTTGAGGACCGGAGAATACTTTTATATAAATTGTCAGAGATCCTTGAGAATCTTTTTTTTTTTTTTGGTGAGGCAATCAGGATTAAGTGACTTGTCCAGGATTAAACAGCAGGTAAATGTCTGAGGCCAAATTGGAACTCGGGTCTTCTTGACTTTGGGGCTGGGCTCTATCTTCTGTGACATCTAGCAGCCCTAAATAGACTCTTTAAGCCTACATTTTGTCCTATTATTTTAAATGAATTTTACAACGTATAGAGAATAAAAGGTGAATTTTGTATTATCTATATCTCCCACACAGTTGTTCAATAATAATGGTGTGATGTGATATAAAAATACATCTGTAACAGCCTGGTTATGTCTTTCCCATACTTTCATCTAGGATATACTTGAGTTAATAGGAGAAAATAGGTATATAAATTACTGCTTCTTGATAGCTTATTGCTGGTCTGATTTTTATAAAAGCACCATCTATAACATTTTCCGTTCATGTGGAATCAGCTCTTCATGGAGAAATCTTGAGAATTAATTCCCAAAGGCCTTTAAAATTGTGTCACCTCCTGCATGATTTATAGATGTGTATTTGATGAGGTCCCACAACTTCCTTAGCATTGTCATCATATAGTGCATATGGTGGTGATGAATTAGAGTTCAAATACAGTGATTTCTCTTTTATCACCAATGAGAATAGGTGATTATTCTCCCATCCATCCATTCCACTTTTCACTTGACAGTTGTCCTCCCTTTGCTTCTACTAACACAAACTCTTTAGATGAGTTGGTATAATTTGATCCGAAGTCAAATGCTTGGTAGATTTTTTTTTCCCTGAACCATTTTTCATTCTTTTGAAAAGTAATCCTACTCTGAGTCCTTCATTCTCTTTCCACATCCCGTGATGACTTACAAATGAGTGTAAATGTTATTTTTGTTTTTTTTTTTCCTTGGCTACTATATCTCTTCCACTAGCAACGAGATTAGGAAGGTTTTACTTTTTTTAATTTTTTCTCTCACCTATTTGTCGTGGTGACAGAAAAATTAATAAAGAAAAGTTTATGTTTTTAGTTTTGTCCATTTATCATTTTTCATTACCAATAGATTATTTAGATACTTTCTATCAAAATTGTAGAAAGCACTTCATTTGCATCTTTACCTTTTAACAAATGTTTATAAAGCTTTATTTTAATATTTCTTGTACCCAGATGATGATCTGGTTATACATAGAGTGCTTATCTTGAGGTAACCATATGTCTTAAATCATTCATCCTCATCCAGTCTGTTAAGATATAGTCAACTTCATCTTTTATGATGTTATTTGTTTCTTGGAATGACAAACACCTTAAAGTTCTGTTCTTGAAGAAAGCATTGCAGATGTATAAATATTGGACATCTCAGTAATCTATAACCCTTGGTTTCTCTTGTTTCTTGAACTTGAATCATATTTTCATTTTTCTCTTGTCCTTTTCTGTACCTATAATTGCACAAGAGTCACCAATGATAAGATATGGACTACCTTGGTTTGGATGATTTTGTCAGGCTCTTCACTGAATTTTTTTTTGTTACTTCATCCTTTCCAGCACTTGTTGGCAAATACCCTGGGGTTATCTGACAATTCTTTTATTTATCTCTTCAAATACGAAGTTATTTTTTTCCAATTATTTCTTCCCATTTTATTGAAATTATGTTGTCTTCTGGTTCTAGTTATAGTATAAAGCTAAATCTAGAAGTTAGACAATTCAGGAATATTTCAAATCATGAATTGTACAAAGGCTACATGTTAAAAGTAGCAACAACTAAATTATTTTAAGAACTAGGTGACTTTTAGCCCTAAATTTTGACATTGTATGCATGTATGTATGTGTTCTTCTCACAGACTTGGCCAAAAAAATCATCATTTGGCAGTCAGCTTCTAATGTTGAACGTTTTCTGTTCTAATTTACCTAGACTGATCAGATAACACATACATAATCTGTGAACAAGTATATAATCCAAACCTTCTACCTCAGTAGGATTTACAAGTTTGTATTCTACTGGTAAAGCTCTTAAGAACCCAGTATCACCTTTAAGTCATGATAAAGCATCACTGTTAGAACTTTTAAGGAGAGTCTCAAGGGTAACTACATATATTGTATTGCCTATATATGCTAATTTTCTGCTGGTGATGTCTAATGTAATCAAGGAGCAACTTATCTTTCTTGTCCAAATTTATATGAAATGTAAAGAATAATATTAATTTTAGATCATATGTACATACACGTTTATTGCAACCCTTTTCTGTGCATTGAATTAAACTGTTGACATAAGCAATAAAAACATTATCAGTTCCATTTTTCAGATTAGAGCATTGAATTTTTTAGATGCCACATAAGTTATATGCCCAGTAGTGCCTACACAACAAATGTGGGAGGTAAGAAATTAATCCATGTCCATTTATTCCTCCAAGTGCAGAGCTCATTTCACTGAATAATGCTTCAATAATATAGCAACAGTAAGAACTATTTGATTTGTGGATATCTGATGTACATTATATGATGGCACCTTGCAGTTAGGAACATCTTTCCTCAAGTCCTGCTTCTACTACATACTTACTGTATAACTTTGAGAAAGCTATTACACCTCTTGGTGGTTCAAGCTAATTCAAAACTTTACAGAGGAGTTTCTTGTCAGCAGAAGTGATAAAAGTGAAGAAAATGAGGACTAATTATCCCATACAAAAGACTGAAGGGAGATGATACAGAGTTATCTCTGAAAAACATCCACCACTAAATTATCTTAGATTCCTTCTATTTGCTGAACTAAAGAAAGGAGAGAAGCAAGTATTGAACCTGTGGTTTCATTAGTTTAGAAAGCACCAAGGGAGGAACTTCCTCTGTCAATCTAGGTCAGAACCTTCTCTTCAAATGATCAAGTTAGAGATTTGCCCAGAAGAAAGAATTGTACAACTGTTGACGATTTGGAACCCTGTTTTCTGCTACAAATTAAAAATAGGTTTAATTCACTGATCAATTGAATAAAAATTCTCAAAATAATTATGTGTTTGTAGACATATGCATCACAATTAAAAAAAATAAACCCATCACAATTTGTGAAATCTCAGAATGTTACAGCTGTAAGGCACTTTTGAGGTCACATAATTCATTTTAATTTTACAGATGAAGAACTTGAGTTCAATGAGTTCAAGTGACTTGCCCAACATCACACACCAAATCAGTGCAACGCCAGGAGTAGAACCCAAGTCTCTTGACTCCTGACTCAAGATTCTACCTTAGATTACAAAACATTGCTCTTAATTTGAACTGATGTAGTTTCTTAGTGCAAGATTAACATGTCAAAATAAAAGACAAAATAGACTTAAAGAGATATTGTATATTTTCTAAGTTTAATCTCGTGTAGTAATACTTACGTTGGTTCTGGGTTTCCTTTGGCTTCACAGACAAACTGAAAGTATTCATCAAAAGGAAATGCGACTTGTACTGTTGACTGTTCTGTGATTGTTGGGACCTGTTTAACTAAATTTAAAAATATGCATTTACAAATCAGACTTTCAAAATCATGTTAAAGCTGACATTGCAAGAGCTATAATCATCTTTGCTGACTACCATACTTGACAAGTAAAAGAATCAGCAAAAATTTGAATATCACCCCACAGTCAGAAAGAATATTTTATGCTTACAAACACTTTTTACTATTCATAGTCTTCGCTTACTCTATAATTTGTTATATACTTGCAAGTTATGGACAAGTGCTTTTAGCTGGACATCTGTACAGCAATCTAGCTTTTCTTCAACTCCAGTAGGCAGAACAGATTTTAAGAGTCACAATTATGAAGTAGAGTTTTAATTATTTCTTTCTAATACTTCTAATGACTTTGAGCAGGACACGCATAACTGGAGATCTTAATATTAGTGCCATGTTTAAAAGCAGAGATTTAGGGCTAAAAGAGTGTAAAAGCCAGTCCAATTTTTACAGTCCTTGGTAACACAGAGGGGATATGAATGATCAAAGGCAAAACAACTAAGGATTGAGAAACTGCAGGCTAGAACCCATGGCTCCCATTTCTGTTCTGGTACTATTTGTATTACATTACCTGCCTCTATTTCTGTTTTCTATCCAATTAAATTGAACTCTCTGTACATCATTATAGTCATTACTGCTTGTGGTCAGGGAATGGGGCCTGGATTATAGTCAACCTGCAACCTACGTGGTTGTAAAGGCTCCTTAGAGTGACTATGTTCCTAGAATGCTGCTGCTGCATGAAATCAGAGTGTTATTTAAGCTAGTAAATAATTGGTGGCAGTCGTAGTAACAGTAGTAGTAATAATACTACTAGTAGCAGTAGAAGTAGCAGTACTAGTAGTAGTGTTAGAAGTAGTGGTAGTAGTAATAGTAGGGATAGTAATAGTAAAAACAGCAGCAGTAATAGCATAAATAAGAGTAGTAATAAGGATACTGACGTGGTGGAATGACTAGAATCCAGACAGGACTTGTAGTCAGGAAGATCAAGTTTGAATCCTGCCTTACATACTTAATAATTGCAAGGCCCTTGGCAAGTCACTTAATGTCTCTGTGTTTCAGATTGTTCACCTGTAAATGGAGGATAATAATAGCATTTACCCTTCAGGGTTTTTGTAAGGATTAAGCTAGCTAACATATCTCAAGCTCTTTGCAAACCTTAAAGAAGTGTATAAATGCTAGCTAGTGGTGTAAGTAATATCTCTAGGAGCAGCGGCTGATATTTATATCATTCTTTAGAGTTTGCAAAAATGTCTTAATCCTCACAAAAACCCTGCGATGTAAGTGCTATTTGTATCCCAAGAGATAATAGAATTATGACATAAAAGAAAAATGAGGCTGAGAAAGCTTAATTGATTGGTTCAGTCATAAACAGGAAGTTTAGGAGAAACCTGTAGAGCTACAAAGAGGATATAAAATTGTGAGACCTTAGTAGTAGCATTTCTCTCACTTTTAGTTTTAGCTTTCCCATCTATAATGTAAGATTGTTTTTATCAACATCCTTAATAATAATAATGATGATGATGATGATTTCACTGTGTAGATGTAGAAACAAATTATTATTATCATTACTGCTATTACTACTAATAATAATATCAGGTAACATTGATATAACCCTTTCAGATTTATAAAATGATTTACATACACTATATAACTGGTCATAACAATTATTTTGGGAAGTAGGTGCTATCACCATCCCTATTTCAAAGCTGGGAAAACTAAATCCAAGAAGTTAGATGATTTGCTCAGGGCCATATACCTAATTGTCTTAGGTAGGATTTCACCTCAAGTTTTCCTGACTCTAAGTCCAGTGCTCTATTTATTTCACTACCTCAACTAGACCACCTCTAAGCTTTCTCTCAACTAAATGTGTCTGTCTCTTTGTTCATCTGTTGACTTTTCCCATGGTATAAAAATATTAGTTCAAGTCCAATCTTCAGGCATGAGATATGCATAAATGTTCGTATTCAATAATTGTATCCACTGGGGTGCACTGCTTGTATGTGGCTATGACAAGTGTTGGTCACAGTTTAATCAACTTTATTGCCCTTCAGATTACATGGCTCTGCATTATACTTCAAGGTGATGAGGAATAATTTATCATGGTAACCATCCTTTAGATATCAGTTAATACCTTGTGAACACCATGTTTATTAGAATATTATTCCTTTGCATATTTGCCCAGCTTGTAAAGGCTCAGAAAAAGTGAATTATTCAGGGAATGGATTTAATAACCTTCGGGTATTTATAGGAATATACGTTCAACATTTTAAATCCTTTTCTCCATAGTTAGGGCAATTACAGAGGCAGTAGACTCTTTGACATTCAAATGGAATATCTGAGTCAGCTGCATTTTCCAAGGAGGACTCTAGAGCCCCTGAAATGCATGTAAAAATATTCAGTGCCTCCAAAAACATTCCATCAGTATTTGACAACAATTGTTTTCAAAGTACATTACACTCCATGAATACTAAGGATTTTTAACAATGAAGCAAGACAAATAGGTGGTGCAGAATAATCAGTATTTTGTAGAAATCCCTTTTCCTCAGATGGAGCTGATGGAGATGCTGCTCAGAGGAAGAAGCAGAATGACTTAAGGGGAAAGAGGGAGGATAATCAAAGGACAAAAGATCTATATTAGAGATCCCAAACACAGATGGGGTAGGACTGGCAAGGAAAAGGGAGAAAAACCAAGTCTCAGAGGTTTACTTTGAAACCAAATCCTTTTACTTACTCATTGTCTATTAAAAAAATACCATGAAACCAATTTCATTTTCAAAAATGAAAGAAAAAATCAATGAGCCCCACCCTCCCCCTTTTTAATATATTAAGAACTGGAAGGGCCTTTTAACCTCATATAGTCCAACATTTCTGTGTTACAGGGGAGAAGACTCAGACACACCCAGTGACAAAGTAGTGGGATGCAGTAGAAGAAGGCATGGATTGGGATGCAGATTTAGGATTGAATCCCTACTCTGTCACTTGTTACTCTGTGAGCTCAGATCTCATATATAAAGTGAGAATGATAGACTCTATCCCTCTTCCTCCTGTTCTTCCTTACTTCTTTCCTCCTTCCTTCCTTCTTCACCTTCTCCCTCCCTTCTCTTCTCTTCCACAAACTTTTATAATATATCTATATCATTTTCATCTACCTCCATATCTATCTTTCTATATACCTGTATGATCTATATCTCTCTCAAATATATCTCTAGATGTACATACACTTATACATATATATATATATATATATATATATCTAGATATGTATATCTTCTAGAGACAAAAAAAATAAAATGAATAATCATGGCAATCTAAAGAATCTGAAGCCTTCTTTGAATTTTTTTTTGTCCATAGTTGATAAGATCATTTTTGAGTACACACACACACACAGACACATACACACACACAAATTATCCTCTTCAAAAACTTTTATTTAAGTGTAAAGGGAAAACAGTTTAAAACCAGAAATCAACTTTGGATAACTGCTGAAATGGCAACTGGGTAGGCATCATGCCACCTACAAGAGACTCTAGTCAAAGGAGACAGGAGGGACAGGAGGGACAGCCTTTCCCCATCTTGGATCCTAGCCTCTGCCAGACACTTATCTGATTTGTTTCCAGAATGAAGGGGGGAAAGAAGCAGAAGTCACAGAATAATTACAGTTGGGTCCACCTCAAACAATTTAAAAGGATAGGAGTGGTTCTTTGAGTGGCATAGAGTTCTCTGGATCGTGAAGTAGAGTCACATGGAATTTCAAGAGTTTTTCATTTCCCAAAATATAAATTATAACAATGATTTGTTAGAGTTTAGTGACTTCATTGAAATTCCTGGTTGGGGAAAAAAAAAAAAGAAACTCCTCTAACAACACAAATCATCCCTTGATACACAACAAATATCTTGGAGAATTCCCTGGGGTCTTGAGAGGTTAAATGAATTGTCCAATGTCAGCCAGCTAGCATATGTCAGCATCAGGACATGGAGCCAGGATTTCCTGGTTCTTAGGCCAGCTTCTCTGTCCACCATATGCAACTACCTTTCATTCTGTTTGCTTTTTGTTTTTCAATTTATCTTCTATCATAGCTTTTCAACCAATATTTATTAGGTCCAAAATATTACCTGAGATTGGTATTTCAATGGCTGTCGTTAATTTTAACATGAAGAAAAGCAGACATCTAATGTATCCTCTTCGGGTTAGCTGCATCTTCATAGCTGTAGGAGGCTGGCAGTCTAGTAAGAAGGAAAGGTGACTGAAGTTCTTTCACCCTGTATTCCAAAGGAAGTAGAGGATTTGAACCTAAAACATCAGAAAACAATGACAACAACACTTATTAACCCACGTGCTCTGAAATATGATTAAATTCCTGAAACTTCATATACAAGGTCTATTGCCATTTTTAAATTTTTTTTTTCTGACATGGCACTTTCTACATGTGTACACACCCCTCACCCTTGACCCAATATCAATTATACTGTGGGCACAGCAACATTGTCTCACACACTCTTAGAAAGAAAAGGTCATTTAAAGCATAGGATTTTGGTAATCTTGACAATTAATATTTGTTGTGTAACAGAAGGAAGTGTTCCAACTGGAGAGTACTCTATTGTTCTAATGAATGGAAAACAGTACAGCAATGACCCCATTCATTATCATGACCTCTTTCCATTAATTCTTTAAAACAGAGTAGCTAATCCTATTTGATTCATTAATATTCATAACAAATATGAAGCTTTGGTATTCTTGCTCTTTCATTCTGGGCTGTTAAAATTCACCAGCCTGGAAGGAACAGGATTAGAGAAGGGAGAAACAAATGAATGTGGGCCAGTCCAGTTTACTAACATTCTTATTTTGGTCAAATTATGAGCGGTAGGAATATTAACCACCTTCATTCCCTTATGGTCATCTTCCATTAAGCTTGGAAGCTGATTTCTGGAATTTAGAGTAGGAAGGAATTTAAGAGGTTATCAATTCCAACCCCCTCATTTGACAGATGAGAAAAAGAAATCCTAGAGAAATTAAGTGGTTTGCCTAAGGTCCAACAGGTAGCAGGAATCAGAGGCTGAATTTAAAACCAGATCTTCCTGACTCCAGGTCCAATAATACATAAACTACATCATGCTGTCTGTTGTCTTCTATGACTTAAGAATTAATAGAGGAAATCAAAGTATCACTGAGAAGAGAAACACATCCCTACAAAGTGCAATATGACAATTTGTGAAAACATAGGGTACCTATTTTCCAAATTCCCAAACTGTGTAGATTACACCCAGAAGCTGGGGAAAACAATAACAATGACAACAACAAGGCAGGGCTGTTTTGAGGTTTGGGGGTAAACAGGACAGAATATTCAGGATGAGAGTGTTGGCAACAATGTTATATTCTACAGAGAGTTCAAAAAGGATAAAGATTTCATAAACATCAGATCTGGCAATTAAATATTATGGGTAACTTTGTAGTGATGAATTTCATTTGAGGGGAAATCAGACTGCAAAGGACTAAGAAATGAGTGAGAAAAAAAATAAGTTGTCTTCTTCCTTTTTGCTTGTCTCCCTCCCCCCCTCCCTCTCCTCCTTCTGCTTTTCTGCTCTTCCTTGTCTTCCACTTCTCCATCTCCTCCTTCTCCTTCTTCTGCTTTGCTTCCTCCTCCTCTTCTCCTTCTTCTCCTTCTCCTCTTTCTCTTTCACCTTCTTCCTTGAAGCTTATCTTCAGAAAGGAAGATTGATATAGTACTCTACCTTGAGGACATGGTAAGAGTTAGTAAAAGCTATCCTTTTCTTATGATGGGAAACACTTGAGCCTGTTTGAAGGCAGACAGCAAGGAAGAACACAGAGAAAATTCTGACGTTAGAGAGAGATGTAATGATTGATGGAGCTGTCTGCTGGAGAAAAAAAAAAGGAGAAGAAATAAAGGACACATATAGAGGGCTAGCCTTTGAAAGGAGAAGGGGCACCTCATTGTCTGATGCTGGAGGAGGGAAAAGGAGATAATGGTGTATAGTATTATGGTAAAAAGAAGGGGGAAAGTATGAGGTCATGATGAATGTCCTCTGTTTGTTTCTCCAAGTAAGAGTTAAGTTCCCCAGCTGAGTGAGTGTGGAGAAGAGGTGTGATAGGCCTGAGTGGAAAACAGAGTAATTTTCCTCACAACAACCCTAGAAAGTGACGATTGGAATGATTATTTTCCTTATTTTGCATATTAGTACACTGAGGTTTAGAGAGATTAAGTGCCCAACCTGACATTATTAGTAAGAGGCAGAACAGGGACTTGAGTAGGAGTCTTTAACCAGTCAGACCAGTAGTCCTCGTGCTACAGGGGTGGGGAACCTGCAGCCTTGAAGCTACATGAGGCCCTCTAAGGCCTCCAGTGTGGCCCTTTGACTGGATCCAAACTTTACAGAACAAATTGGATTCAGTGAAGGAGCCACACTTGAGGACCTAGAGGGCCACATATGGCCTCAAGGCCTCAGGTTCCCCACCCTACATATACATATACTACAACATATGTTTGTCGCTTAATAAAAAATAATTCTTTATTCAACTGGAGTTTTTTCTGTACTCAGAGATTTATATCTTTAAACGGTGTTATAATCACTGCTTTGGGGGATGATATCACTTCCACCCTCAGTATGCTCAGCTGTTCTCACATTTAAGAACAAGCAAAGTTGTTTAAGGTTGCCCACAGAGTTGGCAGTCATAAAACAAGATAGCTAGTGCAAGGCTGTGGTTCACATCTAAGATAGAATGGAGATAGAGGGGAGAAAAAATTACTTCCTTCTCATTTTAATGTCTCTTTTTCCTTTGTGAAAAGATGATGAGGGAAGGAAGCTTATGCAACTTCATATAATTATATGGTCCCCTATAATGGCAATTCATTATTTACTATTTGGTTCCATTAAGAGTTGATGTGGATTGTTTTAGGGGCAGTTCATTTCTTTGTTTAATGAGCTGCCCTTTATTTGTGAAGATCAACCATATATTTCCAGATTCGTACACCATAAATTACCCTTCCTGAAGCAGGGAATAAAAATATTCGACATTGCAGTAAGTAAGAAAATATTAAATTCTCATTAATCTCCCAAGTGGGTTAGTATCCTCAAATACCTCTAATTATTATATCGAAATAGTTCATAGATACTAATTGTTCAATGGTGATGAGCTACTTGTGGGAATTTTAAGGGTTTTAAGAAGACAGCCTCAATCTCAGCTAAATCATATAGGAATACTTGAAAGATCTGTAATTTTGTCATCAAAGGAAACTCAACAAAGATTTGATAGTTAAGCCCTAGAGATTTCTATATTTCTTAAGATTTTATAGTTATGTTTGTTATTATCTCATTGTTCTAATATTTTAGTTTTCTTTTTTAAGTGGTGTAAAAATAGAAATGACCCAGGAGCATCTCTATATTGTTATTTTTCTTTTGTTTCAATATGCAACAGAATTGTACAGGTACACAGCATTTTTTTTTTGCTATTTTTGTTGAATATATGTATGTTTTATATATACAAATGTGTATGTGTATCTATATAGAGAGACTGAGAGTGAAGACAGATACAGAGACAGACTGAATAAAGAGAAATAATTAGTCAGAGACAGAGAGACAAATAAAAGGACACAGAGACAGAAAAAAAGAGAGACTAGACCCATCACTTCAATAATACTGGGAGCTAGATCTGCTACAGTTATCGTCATCTTGTCTACAACGTACCTTCTTGAGACTTCCTAGGATCACAAATTCTGTCCCTTTCTCCATGTCTCATTCTTCCTCTGTCTGTATGTATGTCTCTCTGTGTCCTTATCTGTCTGTCTGTCTCTCCTTTCTCTGTCTTTCCCTGTCTCTTTTTTTCTCTCCTCCATCTCACTTCTCTCTCTATCTCTCCCTGTTCTCTTTCTCTGTGTATCTCTGGTTTCAATACTGAGATTTCAACCAATGTCTTCCTTGCTCGGAACCCAGTACTCTGTGCACTTAACCAAGCTCCTTCTTGTGAAGTGGTCTTATAAAAACAGGGTGGTGACTCCTGTTCATATAATGCAGAACATGTCTAAGTCAACATCAACAAAGCTATCAGTCTCCTGGAGTTGTTTAATGCTTAATTGTACATGTGACTGTACCTTTTTATAAGATTCTGATTTCATTTACTGGAGATATGCATGTTAATAGGATATTACTTAAAAGCCACTAGTAATGAGAAATTGACCCCCTGCAGGGGTAGTCTCAGTAAAAGATGACAAAAGAGAGAACAGAAATACCTTTCAGATTATAGGAAGAAAAACTCTTTGTCATTTCATCATGCAGGATATGGAAAAGGCCTGCCTACTGCATATATCTATTTTGTAACATATGATAAATCTAATTTTAAATCTCAATTTGTCTTTCCTGGGCCAAAAATGAGTTTCATATCACATTCTAGAACTCAGTGAAATAGCAACCAATAGACCTGGTGCAAAAGCTCAATATGAAATGAAAGATGAATAAGATTCTTGGGCATAGCCAAAACCAGTAGCTTCCCTCTTGACAATGTTAAGGCCATTTAACTCAAATCCCATGTGTTTGGTAATATAGCCCTAGAGCAGGCAAGGTTTTAATTAACTATCTGTGAAAGCTGGCAACAAATAAATAAATAAATAAAAAATCTGTCTGCCTCCTGCTGCTCTTCTGTAGAAATAATAATAATTTCCAACTTACTTCCCAAGGGGAATGAAAGTTTTTAGAGTCATAACAGACATACTGGTCACCAGATTTATTTCCCAAGAAAATAAGAGGAATCTAAGTGAGTGATGGTTGCCCCATGACGATATTAAAAAGAAAAATAAAGAAAAGCAAAACAGATGTTGAAGAAACCCATATGTTCCATTCATCTTGAATTAGAATCAAGAAAAATAAATGTTTCTATGTAGTAGTTTTTGTGTGTTGCCTTCTGTAAGAAAAAAAAAGAAACTATGCATTATATTGTGTTGTATCTATTGTTGATGTTGTCATTATCATTGATATCACCATGTGAACCACAGCCATCACCATCACTACTACTACTAATACTACTGTTACTAGAACTTCTACTGCTACTATTGCTGCTGCTACTACTAGTGCTATTACTGCTGCTACTATTACTACATATTTCCAGGAAAATTCTGAACCAAATATACAGGGCCCCCTTTTAGTAGTCAGCATAAATCAGAAGTAGAAATTCTCTCTATTTATTTGGATAGTATCTGTACTGCTTTTGTCCTTCAAGTTATGATTGCATATTATGTCTATACTGTAAGCCACCTAATGTTCAATTGGTAAGAGGAAAAGGGT